CCTATGATTTTAACAATTTTTATAAAGTTTTTATAAAGTATTTGCTAATATAATTTACTATCTATTATGCTATTGATTTTACAAAAACCTCTAATAACATAAGAGATAAATCACCTCTATGCTTTACTTTTAATTAAATATAAAACTAATTTAACAGTTTTTTTTTCTACTTAGACAGATCACACCAATATTCTGTTTATTTAAGTCACCATTTCATAGCAGATTTGAAACAATAAAGATATGATTGTGATATTTTATAGCTACTTTATTTTTTTTTCCTTCAACAATCCTATTTACTTTATTATAGAAACAGACTTTTATCCTTATACAGCATAAGAAATCTAAATCTATAAGTATTTTTACCAAAATGTAAACTCACTCATGGTATACCTCACAGATGCTATAACATCTACTTGCAGTCAGAGCAAACCATTAAACTGCTGTGTTTTGTCCAAATGCAACCTGCTTAGCAACACTTGGCCTTATCCAGAGAGCCAGAACTCATTCTGAACTTATTTCTACCAGATTTCTCAGCTGGCTGTTGCCCGCTCTACAATAGAATGCTGCAAAACTGATGATACTTTCTTGTAGAGAAGGAAAAAAAAAATAAGGGGGTTAATAGAAAATGAAAAAAGGGTATGTAATAAAAATTAATATATCAAAGAAAACAAATATTAATACTAAGGAATATAAAAAAAACCAAACTAAAACCTAAAAGAAACTATCGCTAAAAGAAAAAAAATCTGCTAACCAAGCGAAAACTTCTAATTATACAGAGTTATAATCTACTATTAAGTGCGAGAGTCTTGACAAGAAATTTAAAACTAAAATAAAATGCATTATAACTTGTGCTAGAAGCTAAAAATTATATACAGATGATTAGAGGATGTCTGTATATCTCTTTTTACTTTGTTTTACTCTTTTAATTAAATTTATATCTTCATCCAAAAATATAAGAATTTTGGAATCTCCACATGCTCTATCCAATGATTATGTATTTATATATCTTCAACAATATGACATATAAGGTATTCTTCCAAACACTCATCCAGTTACTAAATTCATCAGCATCATCTATTTTATACATGTTGTTTATCATTATGCAGAGTTTCCTGATATGAAAGTAATAAACATTGACAATTTTTTAGAGAGGTATGCCAAATTCTCTACTTTTTGTCAAAAATTATAGCCAAAAGTATCAGAGAGAAAAAATACTGTATTTGCGAGAGCTTAAGATAATGAAAGTGTTTTTAGTTATTCTTTATATAACTAAAAAGCTTTAACACTTGAGTCAGGAGGTTTTCACCACTACTATTACCAAAATAACCTTTTTGGCTTGGATGCTGAATGTGTGAGAGAGTCTATTAAGAAGAAAAGCTTGACCCAAAGTACAAATCAACTATATACAGCCTGCTTCTTAGTGTTTTATGTATAAGTCTACATCAACAACAGTACTAATAAGGAACCTCAGGTATCTTTAGACTTTTTAGGGTCTTGAATCTTCAAACTGTTTGGTGTGGTATTGGTTCAAGTAATCGTCAGAAAGAGTTGATTAGAGTGGTGATTGTTTATAGCTACTTTACTAATAATTTATAGTTACCGAGTACATATAGACAATATATCATATTAGCAAAATACAATCAATTAAAATAATATCCTAACCAAGGGCTTGTTCAATTACTACTTTACAATAAGATACTGTTAATCTAATGATATCTTTTTGTAGAGAAGTGGAAAAAAAAGAAAAATTTTTAAAAGCAACACAGAGATATAGATGATAATATTAAAAGATACAAGTAAGAAAAGAAAGGGTTAAGGGGAAATGAAAAAAATTAAACTAAATATGAGATTTTTTATCCATATTGGATAGTTATAATCATAAGCCTATATCAGGCTCTATAAAAATTACATACTACTATCTAAGGGAGCTGACAATTATTAGCTCATTATACCCCCCCAGGATTTTAATTTGACCTCCCAAAGGTCAGTCATTTGACAAATGGGGGCTTCCACAGCAAAAGGTGGTGATGGGATGATCATGTGATTTTGAGAAAATCACAGTTAAAGATCTTCATATAACTAATTTTGCATAGTAAAATAACGAACAAAATTTAAATTTTATATACTTTTCACTAATGTATCTAACAAAATAAAGGTATTTTTAGAAAAATATGACTCATAAATAAATTATTATTGTAAAATCTCAAAATCTGATTGGTTGGCCCATCGTCACCTTTTGCTGTGGGACCCCCTATATATTACTTCTACAGATATATAAAAGAAGGTTTTCTCTTTTAGTTCTTGTGGATATCTCCTTTTACAATTTATATTTTTCCTTGAATATTGAATTGACTATCTAATATTTATACAGTCAGACCCCTCTAAATGCACCCTCCCTAAATGCAGCACCCTCCTAAATACATGATATAAGCCCAGGCCCATGGTGGGACTTATAGATAAATACACGTTCTTTATTCTGTAAGTGCACGCTAATTGTCTGGTCCACTTATACAAACTCCCTCCATAAATGCATCTACGTGATTATCAACCAATCAAATCCATTATTCTAGGCTGGTTTATTATATGATAATAGTTACATTGTGATTTTATTAGTGTTCTTTAATTGCAACCCTCCCTAAATGCACACTCTAAAGCTGGTTCTGACGACTTGCATTTAGAGAGGTTTGACTGTACTTTCTTTTCTAATATGAATTATATTATCTGTATTATTTGTATCAGTGTTGTTAATAAACATTGTTTACTAAATTTAATAGACAAATAAACGAATAAACAATGTTTATTGGTTGTTTAGTTGTTTAGTGTAGCACAGTATATACTGTATTTAATATTGTTAACTGTGATGCAGTATGCATTTACTATTGTTAACTACCATTGTTAGATATTAATCAATGAAATTTTTTTTTATCGAATATTGTTTATCTCTATTCTTTATTATATCACATTTAGGTAGTAGACCCAAACATCATTTAAGTAAATATTTTCTTGTACTAGATGAGAAAGCTAATAGCACCAACAAAGCCACCATTTGCAAATATTGCATTTATCATTTTGGTTTTTAACAAGCATATTTAACTAGTAAGGTTACAAATGTTGTAAATTCTTGCTTAGCACATCTTCATAAATGTGAAGTTTTTGCAAGTCAATATTCATCTGAAGAAATAGATCAAATTCTTGTATCTACTGCAATATTAAAAAAAAAAGAAACATTAAAACGAAATAGACCCATTTCATATGAAATTAATTGTGATAGTACTAATGATAGTGATTTCTCACAGTTATTTGTAACAAGCTTTAGTTCTATTGCTATTACAAATCCAAATTCAAATTTAAATTTAATTTGATGATTTAGTGATAAAGATCAATATATATTTAATATATTGCTTTTTCGTATGACAGTATCAAATGGTTGGGCATTTAGATGGGTTGATAATCTGGAAACAAAAGCTTTTTTTTTCATAGCTTGGTAAATTTATTAAATTACCAAGTCATCAATCATTATCAGGTCGAATTTTAAAAGATGCTACAAAGGAAATTATACAAGCACAAGTTGCAATGGCACAACAAGATTCATATGGTGTAATAGTAGCTTTTGATGGTTGGAAAAATATAATTAAACAAAAATTATTAGGAATTATATTTATTACATCAAAAGCAGATGTATTGGTTTGAGATACAGAAAATATTAGCCTTTCAAGAGAATGAACAGAAGAGGCAATTAAACATCACGAAAAACTTTTCAAAAATGCAAAAGATCAAAAGATTAAAATACTTGCCTTTGTTACTAATTCAGTAGCAGAAAATGCAGCTGCAAGGTTAGATTATATATAATTATTTTATGCATATATATTAATATTATTTATTTACATATATAATAAATATTTTTAAGACAAAGACTTTAATTACAAAGACGAAATTTATTATATTTACCATGCTTTGCTTATCAAGTGAATTTATATGTAGCAGATATTTTTAAAAATAATCTTGATTATATTAAAGCATCAAAAGATGCATGTTCGATTCTTTTCTTTTTTAATTCATCAACATTTTGGCTTGGGCATTTTCGATATAAACAAGTATTGGCCTATAATGAAAAATGCTCTGCATTAATTTGTCTTGGTGAAACTCGATAGAATTCATATTATTATTGCTTTGATAGTATTCTTAAATCAAAAATAGCATTACGGATATGTAACTATATATATATATATACTGCATAAGATTAAAAAAAATTATATATATTAGAATACTAATACTAATATAAATAATATTTTATATATTGTAGACCTTTGTTGAAAAATATAATATTAATAATACTTCTGTTGAACTAAGAGCAGAAAAACAATTTCTTTCTGAAAATGTTATTACTATATTAAAAAATGAAGATTTTTGGTCCAATTTATCTCAGTTAAAAGAAATTCTTCAACTATTTTGCTTTGGTCTTGATAAATTACAATAAGATAATGCAAGACTCTTTGAAGTATTACATTGTTTTGGTTAGTTTATGAAAGTTGTTAAGAGTTCTACTAATTTAAGCTTTCAAGAAACTATGATTAATCATCTTGAACGACGATAAAAAACATGGGAACAACCTTTACTTCTTCTCTTATTTTTACTTCATCCTAATTATCGTTATAAGAAGTTTATATATAGCTAATATTAACTATGTTAGTTTAGGTGAATGAATAAATTATTATTATTCAGCCTAGTTTAGAAATCTGCCCAATTCTATTCTATATGAACTCGATATGTATCGCAAACAACAATATCCATTTAATATGGCTACATTCAACAATTTTAAGGTCAACATACTTAATTATTAGAAATTTATAGTATCAAATTCTCAATTTGAGTTATTAAAACTTGCATGCCATATTTTTGCAATTTCAGTAAATACTGCATCTGTTGAACGACTATTTAGTTCAATGGGTTTTCTTTATTCACAAAAAAGAAATCAATTAAATAATAATAAAGTTCTTTCTATGTGTCAACTATGAGAAGAATTATATCACATGCACCAATTAACTAAACTTAAAAAACTAGAAGAAATTATAATAACACTAATACAAATAAACAAGCTAAACTTAACCAAGAACTTAGTAGCATTTATTCGAATGATACAAATAAAGATAATATAGAAACATTTTCTAAAGATTTGGATAACGAAAATGAGGATGATGAAATTGAAGACGAAGATGCTATGCAACAAGTTATTGAGAAATGGATTGAAATGTTAGAAGACGAAGCAACTGAAAATATTAAATAAATTAATAATATAATTATAGAAAACAACCAATCTTTAGATGAAATATTTACTCGAGAACATCCTTACCAAGATTGTAATGAAAATGGCTATTAGAAAACCTGTTTCTTGCTGAATTGAAACTGCCAATATTTATAAATAAGGTAATATTTAAATGTCAACATTTGATTTTACATATTTATTATATTTCGCACTTGTTTTTTGGCTGATAAAATTTGTAGTTAACATATAAAAAATTTTTAAATCATATGTATATACAGTATATTAGAGTTGTTAATAAGTTTGGTTAGGTTAAATTATTTCTCAACCTACTTTAACTTGGGTTGGACTTACTCCGAAGCTGGGATGGAGACTAGGACAGGATATTAGTGAGATAACAGATATCTGTGTGTCATTAAAATTCTCCTGCTCTGGAGTATGTCACTCTATTAACAACCCTAATATATGTATGTACGTACATATATAATTCAAAATTTTATATATTGGTATGAATATAAATATTTTTATACAATGAAAAATTATCAAAGTAAACTTTTATAAATAATATTTGCTATGACATAATTATAAGAAATGCAGCAAGAAAAGGGTGTGGCGACTTAGTGTAGTTGGTAAGTTGTCACACCCTCAAGCAGCAAGACAAAAGTTTGAATTTCACTGGCGATGAAATTCGAATTTGTGGAAATGCGTTACGGTAAAACTATATAACATATCGATCGGGTCAGCATCTGTAACCTTGGTCTCATCAACTCATATTGGGAGGTTGTAGAATGTAGTATAACATATGAGTTACACGAAATCTGAGTGAAGCAGCCAAATAAATACAAGGGATCGGGGATACAGAAGTCCACTTGGGAAGTCACAAATAGAGAAGTAGCACAGATCTTTGACAGCGCTATGTAAAAGATTATCATCTGAAGAACCGGACACCGAAGGCAAACTAAATGAAGACTGAGTGTTTGGCAAGCACTACACCAACCAGGCTACCAGATTAACCGAAGGAAAAAGGATTCATTCAGAATATCAGGGGATGCCTACTGGTCCCTCCCGGGCTATCTGGATTAGAAGTTTAGGGTGCTGACGGTTGGTATCAAAGTACTGTTGATAGTCCATAAAGTGGGTGCTGGGGTTTGGGTGAACTTTGCAAGGGCACAGAGTAGGTAATGGTAGCAGAGGTAAAAAGCCGCAAGTACTTGGCCGCGGTTTAGATGTAAGTTACCAAAAATCTAGATGATATATATGTAGGACATGAACTGCTCTGATAGGTTTATTACGAGGATAAAGGACCCCTCTATATGGAAGTGTGTGTCTGCTTTAAAGTCCTAAGGGGCCTTTCCGACAGTCACTCTTTGAGGAGAATATCTGATAGCACTAAGTTGATCAGAGGGTCTAAATAGATAATCCCCTTAGCTAGATTGTAGGTATGGTAGCTAGTGTAGTTCATATAGGTTAAGTATGCAAGACTGCTTAAATAGACAACCAAAAGTTGTACATATGGCTAGTTGTACCCTCGTTAATGTAACAAAGTTAGGGATAGCCCATGTAGGTTGCTCTGACATTCGAATCAAAGTTTAATAAAACATGCCAGAACCCAAAGTGGTTACCTTAACATTTAAAAAAAAAAAAAAAAAAATTGTGGCAAGATCAAATGTGGGTAGTATTAATTCTTTATACTAATCTGTTTATATTCGATTTTATATATAGAATTTATCACAGATGTTTATTTAAACAAACTGAGACAGATAAAAAAAAGAATCGATTTGAAGATTACAAATGTAAGTTTTCTCTACTTTTAGAATTTTTGATTATATTTTAAACTAATTAATGCTTTTACTCTGATAATATATATTAAAAATTTTTACTTTACTAACTGCAGTCAGGGATTTTTCCATATTTGGACAGTGTTGATCACACCTTTTATGGTATAGGATCACCGATCGGATGATTCTAGATTCTCGTGTCAACAACCAATCAGATCACGCGAGCTTAAAAAAATAACTGTTACTGAATTTTTAAATCGAAATACTAATAAC